AAGTAGTAAAAAGAAATAAATGAATGAATGAATAAATAAATACATTATAAGTATTTATGAATTAAAAAAATATATATACACGAGAATCAAACCCAGGAACTCAAGCATAAGAGTCAGGATCATTACCACTCAGCCACAGGACGCTCAAATGAAAGCACGTATAATTTATATATAAAGTACTAAAAAAACTTTAAGTTCGTTTTTCTTGATTATATTTGAGTATTGCACTTTAGTATTTTACAGGTAGTACACTCACATGGTGTACTATCTCTACATCAAAGATCATCAAAATCCATTTCCCCAAAGCAGTAGGGTCTCCTTGTAAGACAGAAAACAATTTAAACAATTTGCTTAACATTAACTGACTCAAAAATATTAAGGCAGGTTGATAGTAATGGCTTTAGTAAACTAGAAGATCAATATGGTCAAACGAAATCAACAGGATGCCCGTCAAAGCTTATACTAACAGGGAAAAAATGAGCTATTGTTTGTCAGATTGCCAGTAACAAACATCATTTTGATAGCTAGCAGCAATCTATGAGTGTAATGTTGGTAACTATTAGAAGAATTTTTGTCTTACTTTTAGCATTATACACATTTAATATTTTAGACATTTTTTCTGTTTATTCTATTTTATTTATATAATTTATTTTGTTTTTGCAATTTTTATTTTGTTTTATTATGTTGGTTGATTTTCTTTTTATGTATTTTATCTTTTTTTGTTATGGGTCTTGTTATTTATTGGGGAGGAGATCTGCTGTCCAGCGACATTTCCTAATGTAGATGAAATAAAATTAAAAAAAAGAGTTGTGCAGACATACCAGCATCTTGTATATAAGTCAAGAAAACCTGTCCCATCACTAAAGTCTGTTCACAAGGAGAAATGTTGGTTAATGTTACCTATGGTTCCAAAATGGCCATGCTTCTGACTGTTTGTGGTCCAGACAGACTCCTCCTGGAGGGGAGCCACCAGCAGGCCGCCAATTGCCAAATGTCACTAGTTATTGATTCACAGTTGTTCTTGAACAAAATAAATAAACAAAAAAAGGAAACATCTACTAAAAATGTAGCTAATCTAATGGAAACGAATCTAACCAAAGCGCAGCCATTTTGGAACCATAGGTAACATTAACCAAAATGTTTACTATGGGCCAAAGATAAAATGAGCTGGATGGACAAGTGAAAACAAATTATCTGGAGTGAGGAGAAAAAGTTTAACCTTGATGGTCCAGATGTTGGAGCCACTACTGGCATGATTTGAGAAGGGAGGAAAGACTATATGACAAACAACAAGATGGTGGATCATTTTTGGTGTGTGGTGGTTTTATTTACTAAGGAAAGACTCTGCTTGATTTTTTACAAAGGCATACAAAAAGCAAATGATTATCAGGACATGTTGGTGAGCAATCTCTTGCCTTTTGCAGAATGTATTGCTGGGAATCAATGGTTCTTTCAGCAGGACACTGCTCCCATTCACACAGCAAACTCTATATAACTTACTATATAGAGCTATATAGAGTTTGCTGTGTGAATGGGAATGCTAAAAACTATAGAATTTTTAGCTAATTGGGTGCCTATTATTGATTAGCCAGTGCCTATTTCCTGATCTTAATCCAATGGAAATTTTGGCTAGAGCCATATATGTAAATTGGCATCAATATAATATTGTGGAGGAACTAAAACTAGCTTAAAACTTGTCACTAGAAGAAATAAGTATATTTGTCCTCCAAAAACTCATACACTCAATACCAGACCACATTTACAAAGGTGTTTTAGCCAAAGGAAGCTTTATTGTATATTAGGTTATTGTTAAATATAATTTATTAATGTGTCATTAATTGTTTCAGTTAATTTTGTTGTGCCTTTATATTTTTGGGACAGTCAATTGATTGTAATTCTTTCAAATTGTTGTTTATTTTCTTTCTATCTTAATAAATTGTTATATATGCATTTGTGAAAGTTCAAGCAAGCCAAAAATAAATTATTTTTGCAAAGTTTTCAGTGTGAATAATTTTATACAGAAATCTATTAGTGCCTTTATATTTAGGGGATGCACCTTAATCTTGAATTGTCTTTCATGAAACAGTTCTCATTAGCAAAAAGTTATGTTGATGTTATTTCTTTGTCTGATTGCTTTGTTCTTGGAACCTGAAAAAGCAATAAGAATATATAGATATGTAAAAGTTTTGTTAGACTTGGTGAATGAAAAATAAATAATAATAATTAAAAAGTGCTTTATAAAATTACATTTAACAANGATTAAACAATATATATGTTTACTATATATATTTATTTATTAAACATTTTAAATAAATTTAAAATGTAATTCAGTTTTCTTTTCTATTTCTTGTCTATTTGCATTAATTTATACATTAGTTAATTAATTTGCATTAATTAACATATTGATGTGCATTTAATTTTAGTTGGCAATTATATACTGCTATTTCATTTTTGTCTGCTTAGCAAAATCAGTTGTTTATTGGTAGTTAATATCATCTCTAACAGAAACTTGCAGATGACATACTTTTTTTTTAAACAAAATGATAATTTATCTTGAGATTTGAAAAATTGTAGAATCCACACTGATGTCCAAAATTAAATTGACAAATGCAAAATTAAGAATTTCTCAAAAAATATACAGTCAGTTTTAATTTGTTAGAGAAACTTGCAATAGATAATAATTTTAATTAGATAATCAAAATTGATTGAGTTCTTATCCAAATATGCAAAATAATCTTAAGATCCTGTATGAAGTTTTTCTGAAGAAGTTTCAACTTGCAAGTTTGTTTTTTTATGAATGATGATAGTTGTTTACACAGAACTGGGCTAATCAACAAATACCTTGAAATTGAGAATATCCAGAGAATGAAGTGCTCAGCTAGATCTGACCTGAATCCCATAGAGTCTGTCAGTGATGCCCTAAGAAGACTACTTGCAGGACATCGTTTTCCATTAACATTTTATTGGCACAGCATCTCAGTGCTCTTATATGCCAAAACAAGCTGGCACACAGCAGAGCATGCTCTTATAAACAAAGTAGGACATGTATTTCAAAAAAAAAAAAAACAGCAATTTTTCAAAATAAGAGAATGTTGTTATTTGCATGAAAATATAGTAATTTATCAAAATATAAATATGACTTAAAACATATATTAGTAACCTATAAGGCTACTATGATACTAGTTAATTTCACAATATGTCTAACTCAGCAACCTAAAACCAGGAATAAGAACATTCACTTTAAAACTGCAAACATTTTCTTCCATCTTGAATGGATATCTTCAGGCTGATGTTCAAAAATAGAACTGCAAGTTTTGGAACAAACAGATTCAAATATGCTTGATCCAAAAAAGCAGTTCTGTTTTCTAACATTAGCCTGAGGATGCCCATTCAAGATGGAAGAGAATGTTTGCTGTTTTAAAGTGAGTGTTCTTATTGTTGTCTTTAGGTTATTGAGTTAGTTGTACAAGGTGATTATAATTATTACCCTATTCAGATCTGTATAGAGCCTGTTCTCATTGACATATTTTGATGAAACTTGGTATATACATTATATGGACGGAGCATGGGGGAAGGAAAATACAAAAAAAACATTTTAGTTCAAATTTATACCACTAGGTGAAAAAATGGTGCATGAAGAACAAGAAACGTAAAATGGGAACACGCAAAAGGTTTTTATTCACAACATTTGTTCAATGTGCAATCTATTTGCATCAATCACATGTTCAAAGCACCTTACAGCATGTTCAACAGTAGCCCGATAGGTTTCTTGAGGAATTGCAGCAACATAGTGTATTATGCTTGCTTTCAATTCAGACAGATTCCGTATGCCTCCTCTATAGACATGATCTTTCAGATATCCCCACAATAAAAAGCCACAGGGATTCAAGTCTGGAGAATGAGGAGGCCAGACATTCTGAAAACTAATCAAAATTACCCGATCATCTCCAAATTTGTCATGATGCAGTTCCTTCACTTGTCGGGCAAAATGTAGTGTCACCCCATCTTGCATGAAGACAGTAGTCTCTAAACATCCTCGTTCTTGTCAAGCAGGAATGACATGATGCAGTAGAAGTTCACAGTAACAGGTTTATCACAGAACACCTTTTAGGGCCTTGAAGTGTGATCTTCTCAAAGAAAAAGGGACCAAGAATGAAGTCAAATTGAAACTACACCAAACAGTGATGTAAGCAGAGGGCAGAGATTGTTCATGCACAACATCAGGTCTTACAGTACCCCCATATGTGACAGTTCTGAGTATTCACTGTTCTGTCTATGGTGAAATGCACCTCGTCTGACTACAAAATGTTCCATGGCCGTGCATTGTCAATGGCTAATCTGGCCTAAAACCAGCAAGCAAACTCTATGCGTTGTTTTAGATCTTGATGGTGCATCTTTTGGAACATGTGGATCTTGTACAGATACCACTGTAAAATGGATTGCATAAATTTTTGAACTGTAGACCAAGGAAGAGACAAATCACATAACACTGCTCGAGCAATTGTTGGGAAGCGTTTGCTCTGTCAATCAAAGCAATGGCGACTTGCTCCACAGTTTCATTTGAAATCCTTTTCCAACCTCTTCCTGGCAATACTCCCAACTTTCCAGTCTCTTCAAATTTGGTAATCATCTTTCTCAAACCATATCCCCTACATAGGCCCTATTCACAAGCTTTTCATGTGTCGATATGCTCATACTGCAGCCAAACCATTACTGCTATTCTGATAAAACAACTTTACCAGTAAAGCTTGATCTTTCTTCTGTAAAGACATGATAAAGAACAACATTGACTACTGGCTTTTTAAAAGGGTTTTAATTTGCATAGCATCAGCTGCATGCACCATTTTTTCACCTAGTGGTAGAAATTTGAACTAAATATTTTTTTGCATTTTCCTTTTCCCCATTGTCCATATAACGTATATACCAAGTTTCATCAAAATACGTCAATGAGAACAGGCTCTATACAGTAATACTTGTAATTAAAGTTGCCTGAGTAGGGCAACGTTAATTATAAGTATTATTAATAAAATTGAAGACAAAACTGTCCAAAAAAGATCACCATTTATTATTTTTTGTGTTCCAAGACTTAACACATTCTTGGCAACTGACCTTTCTTTGTAGGCTGCTTGTCGCTGGAAAATTACAAAGAGTCCTTTTAAAAAACACAAAACACATCCAATTAAAATTACAAAAATTTTTGAAAAAGGAACTGATGACATACAGTTGTCCTGCTTACATCCATCTATACCTTCTTTTGGGGATTTCTTCTGCTTTTTATCTACTAGAAATTGGTGCTGGAAAATTAAATTTTATTAAAAATAATTCTCCAGTGGACGAACATTTACAGAAGAAATTTCTACATGTATTGTCACCAGGGGGCAGCTTTTCTAAAAATCTACATTTTCCAGCACCAATTTCTAGTAGATAAAAAGCAGAAGAAACCCCCAAAAGAAGGTATAGATGGATGTAAGCAGAACAACTGTATGTCACCAGTTCCTTTTTCAGAAATTTTTGTAATTTTAATTGGATGTGTTTTGTGTTTTTTAAAAGGACTATTAAAAAATGCACACGTAACGCCGACCTCAGTGTCTTCTTTTTACAATATAGTATTTTGGCGTGATCGTCAGCATAATGATCATTAAAAGGACTCTCTGTAATTTTCTGGCTACAAGCAGCCTACAAAGAAAGGCCAGTCACCGAGAATGTGCTAGTATTGGAACACAAAAAATAATGAATGGTGATCCTTTTCGGACAGTTTTGTCTTCAATTTTATTAAAAATAATTCTCCATCGGACGAACATTTACAGATATAAGTATTATGTTTTTTAAATTATAAAATTATATAATCAGTAGATTGTAGATTTAATAAAGACTATTTTGCACAGTGTATTTTAAAATTAATGTAAAAATATGAATTGGTACAAACATGGTTACTTTTTGACATAATCACTGTGAAGATTGAGGCATTTGTCATATCTGTGGATGAGCTTTTCCATCCTCTTGTCATAGAATGTTGCCACGAATGACTTGAGATGGGCCCTAATGTTTTTTTTTTTTTTTTGAAAATTATCATTAGTCTCGAACCTCTGCTCTCCTAGTCACTTTTTCTGTTCAGGAAAGAAGTAGAAGTCACTCAGTGCTAAATCAGGACTATACGCTTGGTGTTTAAAGGTAGTGAAGACTTCCACCCAGCTTAAAGCTTTTTAATGTGTGAAGACTTTCACCTCTTTCCTGAACTAAAATGAACTGAGATTTATAAGTTATTTGTATATTTTTGTTAAATTGTTCTAAATTAGAATTATTTTAAAATAGATTGTGAAGATTTTATTGCTGAATCAATTACACTGGAAACACTTGTGCCTGTTTTACAATGGAGTGAACAACCACATGGTTCTCCTTGGGTTTATCGACAAGCTTTAAATTTTATTCGTGAAGAATTCAGTTCTGTAGCTGCTTCACCAACATTATTTCAGTTGGAAAGAAATCATTTATTAGAAGTTGTAAAATCTGATTTTTTACAAGTAGGTTGAATTTTTAAAATTTATGAAGTTACATTTTCATATCATATTAAATAAAATTTATCATCATTATATTTTAAATTTGTTATATTAGAAGGTAGAGAGATCTTTGGCCAATGCTAAAAGTACTGACCAAAGTTTGTAACCATACATTACTGAATGTTAAGAAACTTAACAATATGACAAGTTTTAATAATTACTGGTTTATGAAGAGTTATTAATACATTAAACTATGACTGTCTTTGAATTGTTTGTGTTATGTATTAATTAAAATAGGTATTCGCTACACTCAGGTTTCTTTTAAACCCTTCGGGAGACTATGGCCTTGCAGCCTTAAATCTGCACGCCAACATCAAAATAGAGGGTACTTTAGTCATACATATGCTGTTCAGCGAGATCCTACCTTTCTCTACTATCTATCTCCTCTTCCTTCTTCTTCCCCTCCCCCTTCCCTTACCCTCTTTTTTGCTGGCTAAACACCTCATGTACGGCCAAAGTCTTTCTTGTATGTATGTATGTATGTATGTATTAAAATATCAAAAAGATAGGTGATCCTATATTACTTATTTATTAGAATTATATCTAGTCTATTATCCCTTTGCTGTCAGGTATGATAGTTCTACCATATTACAATTCATACTCTTCAGTCTTTAAGACTGACTGACTTCATATTTATTCATATATTAGATTTTCAATGAGATGGTGCTTTCAGAAGAGAGCTTGGTGTGTTCTTCTGGCTGATTGTGCTGATTAAAAGTGTCTGTCTGTGAGAAGTGTAGGCTTACTGAGATTATATATTGAATTGTTTTGGATGTTTTATGCATAGATTGTGTTCAAACTAGCAACTGTGTACTTTTTGTAAATGTACTTTCTATAATTCTTTGTTTCATTATCTAATCCTGTTTAGCATTTAAGAAGCTAAACAAACAGACTTTAAATGCAATCTCAGGAAACAGTTTTCTTCTGTCCAATTACCTGTTTGACACAAATTAATCCAGTTTGTCAATAAAAGAAGGATAAGAACATAAAGATGTCAATCATGTAAAAGTTTTCTCATTCTTAATTGCCATCATTTTGTTCTATTAGTGACATTGTTAGTGATGATGTTCCTAGTTAGAATGGAGATAATTTGATATTAATTTTTCACACTTGCCTTGTATTACACAGCACAAGTTTGGACAAGTGCACTGCGTATCTTGCCAACCACACGACTGTGTCGCGCGATTACCCTGTCTCGTATACTTACGCATCTTGCTCCTCAGTGATTCTATATTTAATTTAATTCGATTATACTTACCACTATAGGAATGAAATGCATTCCAACTTTATGCAGTTCTTGGACAAATTCTGGCAAATCTTTATACCTTGTTTTATCATACGTGAAATCGTTATATTTGTGCATATAATCGATGTCGTTCCATTGTGTATCCTGTAAATTAAGTAGAAATTGTTATTTCACGTATTGTACGCATCGATAGTCATTTTGTGAAGATCCCTACAAAAGGTATTCCTGCCGCTCGAGTTCTGTTCCATACTTCTATGGTATGTTTTAACGTAGTGTAGTTATACTTGCAAAGATGAAACCCTAAACTCCAATACGGGGGCATGAAAGTAGTTCCTATGATTCTGGTATATTGCCGTACGACATCTAACGGTTTAGGACCCAAGAAAATAAAGAAATCTAAAATTCCCCCTATTGGTCGATAGGTGATGGCCGGTGCAGGTTGAAGAATAATGTCTATAAAAATGATATTATTTATAGTAACACTTATGATATAATGTAATTCGAAGATATAACAACATACCCATTGCGTTACTATTGATTAAAACAACACCGTGACTTTTACCGCTCTCTTCCAAATCCAAGTAAAATGGATGAGTTCCGTAAGTGCTGTGGTCTTTCTGTTGTGGAGAATTACTTGTATATTGGAGAAATATCTATCAAAATTCATTTGCATAATTATCCTACCATAGGATGTCGATCGCGATTAAATATGGTAAATCGTTTCCAATTCACTCTTCTGAGTAGAGGAGCTTTATGTTGTCCTAATCCATAAATGAAACGTGATGGAAGTCGAGAGGAGAGTTGTAATAATTGATCTGAATATATCATCCATGATAAATTAGTGTGGAATCTGAAAATAGACTATCAATTTGGGAAAAGTTTGTTTGTAAAATACATAATCTATAAAGATTTAAATTAAATAATATAAAATTCTTTTTGGCCATTGCTTATCAAAAATCACACACACATACAAAATCATATTTGCCAGTGTATAAGACGTATCCCACTTTCCAAAGGCACTTTTGTGCATCTTATATGCAGGCAAGTAGGCCCACTGTTTATAAAAAAAGCAAAAATCGAAAAAAGTCACACATAGCCATTAGAATCAGTGTTTCATTTACGACACGTGACATATTCTGCCAATCAAAAGAATCTAACATGGTACTCCTTCAACCGAAAGTTCCGCCATTTTCTTTCTTTTGCTGGCTTTGAAGTCTTAATCTAGGATTTTAGTACTTACAGTACAAGTTGATTTTTTAAATCAACTTGTACTGTAAGTACTAAAAGTTTGTAGTAATGAGCATATATTTCGAGGGCAGATATATATTTATTAAATACTTTCTTAATTATTTTCGTGCTTACGGTTGTTTGATACACAAATTACTTCTATTCCAGACAATAATAATGGCCGGTGCATCCAGTTCTGTTACAGTGCGTTTGTGTATTTTACGTTTTAAAATTTACTTTTAAGTTGAAGTAGTTTTCTAATTAAAAGTTTTACATTTTATAAAGTTTATATACTAAATATTCGTCTTACCCATAGCCAATCAATGCGATTAATTTAAACTATATGTGTTTTTATTCGTAAATATCACGAACAATTAAGGGTTGCAATTTTTAATTAATTTCATTTAAAATACAGTGAAACCTCACTTAACGAGCATAATTTCTTCCAGAATCTTACTCGTTAAGCGAAACAATTTTTCCCATATAAATTAATTTAAAATACAATAATGCGTTCCATGCCGAAAAGAATACTGAAATATTTTATGTATGACGTCTATTCAAACAAAACTATACAATATGCATTCTTAAGGAAAGTGAATCATCTTCATCTTTTCTGCTAGCGCGGAATAAACCAACCTGAAATGAGAATTCGATTTTCAGAAAACAAAAAAAAAATCACAGATAATAGAGAGGTTGCGGCCGACGTTTTCATCGCGAAAACATCGGACGTTCAGCGCCGCCATCCTGTAAACGTAGAATATGACAATGGCGTTTGGAACGTCAGTGGAATCATGCTCCACGTTCCAAACGCCATTGTCAAACTTCTAGGCTTACAGGATGGTGGCGCTGAACGTCCGATGTTCACGTTTTTGCGATGAAAACGTCGGCTGCAACCTGTCTAACATGTTTGGTAAACACTCCAAACGATATGCCAAATTCTTGGGCTATGTAAAGGCTATAATTAAATATTATAAATTAATTAATTTGACTAGAGGTAGGCAGTTATGCTGCCATCTTATATTAAATTTAATAATTATAAATCATTAATTTTTAATTTAGACATTTTAAAAATTTAATTTGGAATTGGTCATTAAATTTAATACGAGATGGCAGCATAACTGCCTACCTCTAGTCAAATTAATTACAGGTAACCCCCGTATAACACGACACTTCTATAGCACGGATTCACTCTAAGGGCTGTTTCATACTATGACCGACTGGCCGGACTCCAAGTCGTGTTGCCATGGCAACAGCAGTCTGCCGACCGACTAGTCGTTCCAGTCGGACAGATTTGAAAAGTTAAATATTTGTAGTCGGGTCGGAGCAGTCGATGAGCTACAGCCAATGAGAGCTTCGAAGCTATAACCAATCAGAGTTTAGATTTATCCAATCTACGTCGAAGTTAGAAAATGGCGGAAAGTATAGATTTCTCGGAAGCTTTAATAAACGAAGTCAGAACATATCCGTGGCTTTATGATATTCGGCGAGCCGATCATAAAGACAACATAAAAAAAATAATTCTTGGTCGGAGATTTTCAAGAAACGAAACATTGTAGGTATGTGATTGACTAATCTAATAATGACGCGATATATCTAAGTGCATAATCGCTTTCCATGACGGCCATGTTTTCTGTTTTATTTAAAAAACTTACCATGATTGGCTAGTGTATTGATCTATAACACGCGTTTTGATTGGTCCTCATGAGTCGGCCACCGACATATAATCGTACTTACAGTTAGTGTGAATGCTTTTACTACTAGTCGGTCCGATTATAAAATCGATCGGGTCGGTCCAGTCGGTCATAGTGTGAAACAGCCCTAACACGGTTCGGGAATTGGTTAAAACCCTCGTACAACATGAAATGTAATAAAGGGTGCGTTCTTTTATACCTTCGCGTAACTCCGCGCGAGCATTCTAATTGTTTTCGTGGCTACTTTGAATGCTCATTCAATAAATAATCCATTTAATGGTTAAATTTTACAATTGGAACCCTTCTTTTGCCTCTAAAAGCTCATTTTAGAATTATAGATTCCTCCATCACGATACTATCGATAATGCGGGCGCCGCCATCTTTCTTTCACGGTCGTTCCTAAATGCCTACAAACAGCAGCGCTATTAACGAACGCACCCAAAAACTGTTATTAGTTGATGATGCTCATGCTGAGATCATCATATAGAATGAATAATCCTCTGGTAAAATATGTACTTAAATAATAAATAAGTATTTTACCTATGAAAAAAAATGAATAATAAATCCGATTTAAATAAGGATTTAACAGCATGTGTTTTAATTTTTGGAACCTAACCTCATTTTTGGAACCGTGTTTCGTATAACATGAATTCGCATAACACGGCAATTTTTCGGAACGTAACTCCCATGTTATACGAGGGTTACCTGTAATTTATAATATTTAATTATAGCCTTTACATAGCCCAAGAATTTGGCATATCGTTTGGCATGTTTATTATATAACAGGCAATGGTTATTGATGTTTATAGGTAATGTGTGTGAACACAAGTTTGGAAAAATGTTTGCTCACGAGCGACACTAAGATGCTAGCGGAACGAGTGCTAAACACAGACTGATGGAGCATGCGCACAATCCGGAATTTTCCCTTTTCTTGTCACTCGTTAAGCGAGTCACTTTTTACAATTTGTTTTGCTCGTTATGCGAGGTTCCACTGTATATGCTCTCGATTTTAGTAAAGTCTTGTACCTGTAAACGACACTTTTCCTGCTAACAGTAGTCATGCCAATCTAACTCTGTTCTGGAAAAAATTTTAAATTGAAATAACCTGACTTCCGAACTAAACCGGAAGTTAAAATATAGTTAATTGGGACTCCTAAGTCATATATAGTCTCGATTTCCATCCACCTAACTCCGTTTCGAAATTAAGGAAGGACAGACAATAGACAACGGATGCCAGTGGGAATTTGTTGGTCTGCAATTTGAAAATTGCAGCCCAGTTATAAATATTTAACTCGATATCTACTACAGTAGGGGTGACTGTAGTATGTAATGAAATTTAATGCAGACAATATGTTATATACTTGTTATTATCTGTATTATCCAACATTATGCATATGTACAGTACAGTACTATAGCTATAGATAACATACATGACTTGCTTGTCTTCCGTTCTTGTAATCGACAGTACTCCATTACTTTTCAAATTAACTGTGTATTGTTTCGTAAATTCGTAATGTTTATTTAAATTGGGAATATCTAGATTATGGTTTGGCAACTTAACCTCGTAGCGTGTATTATCCGCATCAGTTACCTGAAATTATAAACAGAAATTGTTAAAATTTCTTCAAAAAATTTGTTTGGAAATTCATTTTTACTGCTAAATACATATTTATAAATAAAACTTCGTTGAGGCATGTTATTAATTTATTAGAAAAGATGTCAGGAAAAATAACAAAGTTTATTAAAAATGCAATAATAATAAGAGTTGTTATTAGTAGATTTTAAGAAAATAAAGCAAAGAGTTGCGTAACTTTCCCAGCAATACAATTTAAGATTGGTTGCTCCATCTATTATACCATGCTATATTTCATTTAAAAAACCTTTTATATAATTAATTATTATAAAAAGGCAAAAAGCTTTATTTTGAGGGTAGAGATGAGTTTTATAATTTAAAAAAAAAATGTAAATGCTATTAACGAGTAAAATCCGACCCCACTCGAACTATCACACGTGACTTTCTCTCAATCTGCTCACTCCTCGACTTTTAACCATGAAAATTTAGTAGCATCAATGTCTCTAATACCCAAATATCCCTGCAAAATTTCAGATATGAAATGTTGCATAGTATATGAAACATAAACGTACAAGTTTTAAAGTTATAGAACGTCAGTATTCTGAAATATCATTGTCAAAAGAAGTGAAGTAGAACACACGCATAATCACGATTGATGTTTTTGAAGATAACTATCATCTTCAAAAACGTCATATTGTGACGTACTGTCGTCGTGGCCTTCGCCATCTTGGTAGAGGGAGCACTTTGCTGAAAACCTGTGTCTGCTTTATGTTTGTTTGTTTATTAAGTTATGGCAACTGCAACACTTGGACGATCTGCTAGGGGATGCCTTCTGGGAGGTGTTTTAAGGGTAACTGGTCCCTATATTCAAGCGTTATAGACGTGGAGAAAACCTGAAAATTTCAAGTGGCCAGCCCGACCTGGCAAGGCGTGAACCTACGACCGAACGCCCAGTGTTCAGGGAACGGAACCGTTTGGCCACTGGTGGGCCCTATCTGTTTTTATAACATTAACTGACGATAAAAATAGAAGATGAATTATAATATATAATAAAGATTTAAATACAGAATATTAATTATAATTCTATAAGTCATCGTGTTTATAAAATAACTTACACGTAATCTTAGCGTATCCTGGCTATGAAAATATATGGAAACGTTGACATTTGGTATATCCTTTATAAAACCAGAAGGCTTAATCCTCTTTAACAATGCCGAAATTCCTCTTCTGTGTTCTTTAATATACTTGACGTCATAACCGGCGAAATTCGTTGGAAAATAGCAATCTGGCACGCCAGTCGGATAACCTCCATCTTCTGTAATTTTACTATTGTTACGTGTGCCATTCCAGCAACATCCTCGATTTAAACATTCCTCTTTAGTGGAAGGAAAATCGGAATGACAATCCAACTTATCTTCATCTTCAACACCAATGCAACTGTAGATTTCATCCTCGATTTTCACGTTTGCAGAATTTATCTTGAATTTTTCAAATGTATTAGAAGAATCGAACTTACCGTGTTTATAAACAAGCGCTTTTGCACTATAATTTTCGTCATAATATACTAAACAAATGAGAGACAAGAGCAGCGAAATACTGAACATGATTAAAATGTTACATGGAAATAATTTCATAGCTTAATTTAACGTTAATGTTACTAGTCGACCGTAAAATAAAATGATACTTGTCATCCCATTGGGCAATACACAACACTACAGTTTACAGTAGAGGAGTGTTTTGCTTATTTTAAATCTAATTTTATTATTGATAATATTTTTGATAGTTTTTTTAATCATAATTTAATATGTAGATGATGTTTTTAGTTATTTTTCACTCGGCATTGCCAATAAAATCAAGTACAGTATTGTAATTTAAAATTGTACGCGAAATACACACTATAATTATAATTAAGAACAACATTGTTCTGGGACAAAAGGAAAAAATAATAATCAAAATTTCATATATATTTTTTTTTAATTGAATAATCTAGAGTAAATTATTTTAAGATTGGAAACATTGATAATTATCTTTACAATGATGTTATCAACGTTTTGTTATGCAAGCATCAGAGGGGTTGTAGTTCATTTTTCATAAGAAACATAACTTTCTCCGCACTCGAACAAGATGGAAGTTCGATAGTTTTTAATTATACTCCGATATAAAACTTAAATAATAAAAATGAAAAAACGTAAACTACTGCAGAATATATCTGTACTGTATTTTGAGAAATTGTGTGTGGCGCCATCTGTTATTAGATTTTGTAAATAATTAATTTTTTTAATAATATTTATTATAAAAGACTAATGCTTTTGTGAGTAGCGATAAAGTTTTTAAAAAATTGTAAATTTCACTAACGAGTAAAATTTTCTTTGTCTGACCCCACTGGACATATAATCCCTATCATCTTATAATCTCAAAATGTAATAGCATCAATGCCATTTACTTAGAAGTATTCCTGACAAATTGTAGAATTTTTGGTCCCTGAGGTAGTGAGAAAATAGATGCCGATATACATGTTACCGCTAAAGCTCGAAAGTCGTTAATGTGTACATTACCTAGCTAATCTGCACATTAACTAGGGCGATCCGTTAAAGTTGCTAAAATTGTTCTATTTCTCAAATTACCTAGATAATGTGCAGATTATCTAGGTAATCCGCACATTACCTACTAGACACTCGGCAAAGTGAAAATAAGATCTTTGACACAAATAAATGTACCACAAATAGGTGTGCTTGTCGCAAAAACCAATTGCTGTGAAATTCAAAGTGTCACCAATCTTTAGACTGCACTAATAAGTAAGCACAATTGGTTAATGTTACCTATGGTGAGTAAAATGGCGGCTCGTCTCTGATTTCAACAAAGAGAAGAAAGGAAACAGTGGGGACGCACGTTCAAACCTAACCTAACCTATTCTAATAATTGGTGATAATTATGGTAATTTATTAGAATAGGTTAGGTTAGGTTAGGTTAGAACGTACGTCCCCACTGTTTCCTTTCTTCTGTTTGCTGAAATCAGAGACGAGCCGCCATTTTACTCACCATAGGTAACATTATCCAATTGTGCTTACTTATTAGTGCAGTCTAAAGATTGGTGACACTTTGAATTTCATAGCAATTGGTTTTTGCGACAAGCACACCTATTTGTGGTACATTTATTTGTGGCAAAGATCTTATTTTCAC